CAGAGAGAGAAATAGATAAGCAAGCTGCAATAGACAAGAGATACAGATCAACAAGCTGCAGTTAACTAGGGATATAAGTAACCCTCGACTTATGAACACAAAATTTCTGTTGCTAAGCGAGACAGTTGGGTTTTGCCCCATTTTACCACCTTTCTGGCCACAATTGTGAAGTGGATCCCTGCAGTTAAGTTAGTTAAACAGTTGTTAAGTGGATCTGGCCTCCCCATTGACTTTGCTTGTCAGAAAATTGCACAAGGGGATCACATGACCCCAGGACACTGCAACCGTCCTAGGTACATGTCAGTTGCCAAGCATCTGAATTCCGATCACGTGACCATTTGGGATGCCGCAATGGTTGTTAGTGTAAAATATTGTCATAAGTCACGTTTTTCAGTGCTGTTGTAATTTTGAATGGCCACTAAGCCAAAGATTATAAGTCCAGGCTTTCCTGGAGGTGTAATTGACTAGAGATATAGATAAACTAGCTGCAACTGACTAAAGATACAAGTCGTAGTTGACCAGAGATGCAGATAAACACGCTCTAATTGACCAGCGAGGTAGATAAGCAAGTTGCAATTCATGCTGATTTTTCTCTTATTTCGTCCTAGAATACAGCTCCAATGTGCCGATTTGGGCTTTGCGGCTTATACCTGCAACAGCTGGGGGCTTATGCATCCCCTTGGCGTATCAAATATTAGTTGAATTACATTTCAACCATTTTGTTGCCCTGGGTGCTGCAGTCCTGATTTTATTTGGTAAATAAGATATCATTCCTTTCAATTCTCCATCGGTGCCAGGACCAGAATCTTTCTGAGATATTTCACTATTCTCTTTATTTCCTCAAGCTGTATTTTTAACCCTCTTATTAGCTAAGACGGTTTCCAGAGCAGCCTTCTGCAAATCTGTAAAAGATTATTCTGTTGGTCCTCTTATTTTAGGTTGCTAATTGTAAAGTTACTTACTGTAGTCTTCAGAAACGGGGTAGCGTTGACATGAATTTAAAAGTAGTGACAAATGAATTAATTTAAGAGGCTCAGTCTCTGTGGAGATTCTCAGTCATCCAGGTCATGGATGCTTTTTTAAAAGGCAACTGGACTTTTTAAAGAGGCACAACAGAAAAGGAAAAAGGAGTTGGGAGGGAAGAGGGGGAAAAAAAACATAGCAATTATGACACTGATCCATACAGTCAAAACAAGAGAAGGAAAGAGGAATTCTTTTTTTAGCAGAGCTAATCTATGTCTTTACTGCTGGTAAACATCCATAGGAGATTTCTTGAAAAACCATAAGACAGCTTTTATGCATTCCAATATCATTTTTGTAAGTTTGAGAAAAATGGCAGAAGGTACTCACAACGGTGCTGTTAAAATCTTACCCCTGAAAGGAATGTTTGTTGAGTTGTTAGGCTGTCCACAAAAACAGTCATCAAGCAAAACTTCTAGGATTGCAACTGTTAAAAATATTAGCATAAGATTTTCTTTGTTACCTTATTTTATTTGTCTGTTTTTCCCCCTCCACAGGCGTTTTATTACTTTGTATTGAATGGATGTGAAGAGTTGCTGTGTATCTCTTTGCTTGTTAGATACATCCAATTCATAATAAAATAAAGTTAGGCAGTGAGACTAGGACATTTGAAAAGTTGTAGCAAAAAGCTGTATGTTTGGCTAAAAGGGTTTTTAGAAGTTGGAACATTTTTTCCCAGCTTTTAAGAACTTGTTCTGGCCAATCCCCATTGGTTGATTGCAAAAATCTTTATATTGCTTGCTGTAACAGGGTCTCCAATCTTGGCAACATGACTGGCTGAGGAATTCTGGGAATTGAAATCCACAAGTTGTAAAGTTGCCAAAGTTGTAAAAAGCTCATAGAAGGACCACTGTAGGAATAGACAGTCAAAACAATCCTCATTTCTCCTTTTGTGTCTTAACAGAAAATTCACTAATTACTCAATCCAGATTGATGCTGCTGGAGTCGATTTTAATTTTTTTCATCCTGCTGGCTGTTTTGTCTTATCTGAAGTTTCACAACTCTCAGAAACAAAGGTAAAAGATTTCTTTGATTTTTCCACCTTGGTTTTGCAATAAAATATGAAGTTCCTCAAATCAGACCGAGCAATAACATGTCTTTGCATTTATGCTGTGACCCACGCTAACATGATTTATAAATGGCGATTTAGGGCTTAGCCAAAACCACCTGGGGATGGATGCTGCAAACAAACCAGGCTTAAAAAGTTTGTTTGAATTTTTTTTTTGCAGTACATAAGATACAGGTTAATCCTCGACATACGACCACAGTTGTTAAGTGAATTTTGCCCCATTTTATGACCTTTCTTGCCACAGGCAAGAGAGAATTGGGCCAATCTTTTCTCCAAAGCACCAGAGGGCAGGACAAGAAGCAACAGATGGAAACTAACCAAGGAGAGAAGCAACCTGGAACTAAGGAGAAATTTCCTGGCAATTAATCAGTGGAACGACTTGCCTCCAGAAGTTGTGGGTGGAGGTTTTCAAGAAGAGATTGGACAGCCATTTGTCTGGAATGGTCTAAGGCTGGCCTTATGATTGATATGTTTAACTTTCTTTTGTTTTAAAGCCCTTTTTCTACAAGATGGTGGCTCTGGCTGTTGCTAACTGGGGTCTCCTGTTCTTGTGCTGTTGGGTAAGCTTACCTCTTGTTGGTCTGCTAAGGTATCTGACAACAGATACCTTGTTCATGAACATCTTAGAACAGAGGTGTCCAGTTTTGGCAACTTCAAGATTTGTGGACTTCAGCTCCCAGAATTCCCCATGCTGACTGAGGAATTATGGGAGTTGAAGTCCACAAGTCTTAAAGTTACTAAGGTTGGACACTCCTGCTTAGATCTTCTGGCGGTCTCCCCTGTCCTTTTTGGGCCCATCCGGGGTTGTCTATGTGTTCTCCTTACCTTAAACCCCAATGGGGGTGACATGCGAATGCAGCCAGCTTCTCCTCCTAATGGGCTTGGTTTATTGTGGCATTTCCTGCTTGCTTCGCAGGGTGAAATACATGGGCCTCTTCACTTACCTCCTCCTTCTGACCCTGGCAGGGGTCCATTCCTGGCAGCTGGTTGGTGATCGCTCCTTGTCCAACGTAAGTCGGAGGGTCAAGTAGGATCTGGTTGCTCTGGGTTGGTGAGAGTTGATCTCCAGGACTTCTGGGAGAACTTTGGATTTCAGAATCCGTGGGTTTTAGTTCGACACAGCAGTTTATCTTAGAACGTAATCAGTCAAGGTTGCAACAAATGTGTTTTTCCATACCTCTTTGATGGCAAAATTGGAAATATTGGTAAGTTAGATGCGAGGCTCTCTAACATAGAGCTCACCTCTCCATAAATGATAGATAGATAGACAGATAGATAGATAGATAGATAGATAGATGATATATGGATTAGATAAATAAGTAGATAGAGATATAAATTAGATAGATAAATAAGTAGACAGAGATATAGATTAGATAGATAGATCAATAGATAGATGATAGATATAGATTAGATAAATAAGTATATATATATATATATATATATATATATATATATATATATATATATATATATATATATATATTAGATAAATAAGTAGATAGAGATAGATAGAGATAAGATAGATAGATGATAGATATAGATTAGATAAATAAGTAGATAAAGATAGATAGATAGATAGATAGATAGATAGATAGATAGATAGATAGATAGATAGATAGATAGATAGATAGATAGATAGATAGATAGATAGATAGATAGATAGATAGATAGATGGGTGGATGGGTGGAGATGTCAGATAGCTAGATTTAACTTTAATTTTGTTGGAAACATTGATTTTAAAAAAAAGGAACCGTGATTCTAATCTCTCTTGACAGGCAGAGGAACACTTTTATTAAAGTTTTAGGGCCCCTAGAGTAGGTTGTAACCCAGCTAGATGCAGCCCCGTCTGGCAATCTTTAGTTTTAGAAGCAAAAGTGAATCACTTCGGCTTTTCCCTTTCAGGTCTCCCTGCTGTGGCACTTCATAGCCCGAGGAGTAGCTCTTCTGATCATCCCTGTCACTCTCTACCTCTCCTTTTTCTACATCCACCTGGTTTTGCTGTACCGGTCTGGGCCTCACGACCAAATCATGAGCAGCGCTTTCCAAGCTAGCTTAGAGGTGAGACCCAACTGAATCGTGGTCAAAAAGGGAGAATTGGGGGGGGGGTTCTCCCTTTTTTTCTTTCTCAGAAGAGCTGAAGATTTTCTCCCCCCCCCCACACACACTTTTAGAATTTCTGCTTTTGTTCTTTATTTCTAAATGTTAATTGACTGGCTGAATGCTGATTTATTTCAACCTTCTGCTGGACTTTATCTGCTCTTTCTGTTTTTAATATTATTATTATTTATTGGGTTTTACCAGTTTCTGTACAGGTATTTCTCGTAATTGTTGTTTCTGTTGTTAAGTGAGACATTGGTGAAGCGAGTCTTGAACATCGCAACAGTCGTAAATGCGAGGACTGGTTCTAATAACCTTTTTTTCCAAAATTGTCGTTAATAGTCGTAACTTTAATCGTCTCTTGATGTGGCTATCACTAGAATCTGCCAACGTTTAAAAAAAACTAGGCTGATGGTTTTATGCTTCCGGATTGTGTAACCAACACTCTGTGTATTTTATTTATTTATTTTTTTAGGGAGGGCTTTCGCGCATCACTCAGGGGCAGCCCTTGGAAGTGGCTTATGGTTCCCAGATTACTTTGAGGAATACCTTAGGCAAACCCTTGCCGTGTTGGCTTCATTCTCACCGGAATACCTACCCCATCAGGTGAGAAGGAGAGGGATTAATTGTTGGCAGACGGGATGTTGTGTACAACAACCCCGGCCTGTCCCACCATGGGCCCCATCTCCAGGAGATGCTGGTTTTTTTGGCGTAGAATTTCTGCCAAAGAAAAGAGTACAAGGCTGGGGAGAAGTGGCCAAACTTTATTTTTACTCTTTTACTAATTTTACTATTAGCTTGTTTGGCAGTTCCTTGATGGAGGATATTCTTTGCTTCTTGGCGGTTAGTCCCATGTTAATCTTGATGTTCATTTCTGCTCGTTCTGCTCTTTTTGGCCTAATGACTGTCTTTTTTGAATGATATGTAGAGGTTGTTTATGTCTCTGTGCCCGTCGATGGCCAATTTGGAAGTGTGCCAGGCTCCCAGGGATGAGGCCAAACCCACCAAGCTCAGACCCTAAAACCTTTTCCTTTGTCTTCTAGCCGCCCTCCAAGGGCTGAGATCTCTTGTCTTCTCTTCCTACTAAATGGAGAAAACAAATCTTTTTTCTGTGATCTAAAAAAAGCCCTTCTTTTCTGCCATTTCCTCCGTATCTTCCCCAGGTATGAAAATGGGCGGGGAAGTTCCCACCAACAGCAGGTGACCTGCTATCCTTTTAAGGATGTGAACAACTGGTGGATCGTGAAGGATCCTGGAAGGTAAGCCTCTTCAGGTAGTCCTCGCTTTACGGCAGTTCATTTAGGGACCGTTCGAAGTTACAAGAAAGTCCAGTGGCAAGCAAGGTTCGTCAAATGGGGCAGAATTCACTCAGCAACCTGAATTTTGGGCTCAATGGTGTTCGTAAGTCAAGGACTAGTGTACTTTATTTGGCCAAGGAATTTTTCACTCAGTATATTTGCAAAGCAGCAGAGAAAATAATAATAATAATAATAATAATAATAATAATAATAATAATAATAATAATAATAATAAAAGGGGGAAGTAACGAAGATAATAAAAGGAATAAATAATAACATTTTTAATGGGTTGATACACTTTGATTTTGTTGGTTCATTTTGCCTGTTTTTCGGCCTTTCCCAAACAGGCAGCAGCTGGTAGCTAGCAACCCACCACGACCTGTGCGACACAGCAACATTGTGCAACTGGTCCATGGAATCACCACCCGTTACCTTAACACGTAAGCTCTTTCTTCTTTGTGTGTCTTCTGGAAATGGCTGTAATTGTATGTGTGAATGGCTTTGGAGACTGGGTCTAGCGATGCCGCCAAGGGGATGGTCAGATAAGGGGCAGCTTAGCCTTCAGTTGTACGATGGGCTGGGCAAGGGGATCGACAGAGACCCTCCCTAATTCCTCAGGGGAGAATTGTCTGAGTGCCAGACTTCCAGGAATTCTCTAGCGTGTTTACCCTTAGCTGGGGCTACGGTTAAGTCCGTCCATGTGTTGTGCAATGAAGGAGTTTTCATCCTGTCTCCTGACTGCTACTTGGTGTCCCCCCCCACCTCCTAGTACTGAGGATGTTACCTAATTAGGTAGTGAAATGTCTGCAAGAAAACTACTAAGCTTGGAGAGCATCAAGGATCCCACAGTCCTTGTTTACCACCACCACCTCCTACTACTACTACTACACTCCCTCCTTTCTAGCACTGATGTTGTTACCTAGTTGGGTAATGAAACGTCTGTAAGAAAACGGCCAAGCACAAAAAGCATCTCACAATTCAACCCTGAGCTGCAAATATTCTCTTCTGTTGCTTTCTCCATCCTGCAGGCACGATGTGGCTGCGCCCCTCAGCCCACACTCCCAAGAGATATCCTGTTACATCGATTACAACATCTCCATGCCCGCTCAGAATCTCTGGAGAGTGGTAAGGGCCAGGCTGTGGAATTTAAAGGAGTTGATCAAAGTTGGGCTGAACTTAAAAAAAAAAAAAAAAAAAAAATTAAACATAGCAATATACCGCTTCATAGTGGCAGGAACAATCAAGACAGCCTATTAGCCAAACGGGACAGCTTCAGGAAGCGTGTCTTTCAATCCCACAGGAAATTATGAATCGCGACTCGGATAATGACATTTGGAAAACGATCCTGTCCGAAGTCAGACTGGTCCACGTCAACACGTCGGCCGTGTTAAAGGTGAGTGGGGCTCAGGGTCTTGGCCTCTTGTAGTCAATGGGAGGGACCTTGGGGGTCTTCCAGACCAACCCCCTGCTCAGCCCACAGAAGGAAAAGGGGCGTGGGAAGCATCTCAGAAGGGACCCCCCCCTAGTTTTCCAGAGAGTATAAGAAAAAGAGGGGATACATCCTTCCAGCTTTGAAAGATTCTGTTAATGTAATCTTACAATAAAGTATTAGCATTTACGGTTGTGTCTCTTGTCTGGACTACCTCGAAGGGCTGATGTAGCACCACCCCACTCATTCAGATAGATGGGGCTTCCCAGATCCTTCAACCTGTTGAATCCTGGTTGGCATTTTATGCCTCTTTTTTTTTTTAACCCTTCTGTTCTTTCTCACCGCCAGCTCAGTGGAGCCTCCCTCCCGGAGTGGGGGTACCGACAACTGGAGGTGATTGGTGAGAAGATCTCCAAGGGGTACCATCAAAGCATGCTGTGGAACGTGGAGGAACACCGATATGGAAAAAGTTAGTTTTTAAGAAACTTAAGAAGTCTTTGGACGTTAATGCAGGGTGGTTTTTTTTTCTGCAAAGTTCTGGAAAGACTTTTTTCAAACGTCCCGCTCCAGACCTGTACAGGAAGTCCTTGACTTAATGACCACAATTGAGTTATGTTGCTAAGTGAGAACACCCCAAAGGCTTGTGGGAGAATGGCCCCAATTAACCTGTTTTTTTTTTAGGTCTCTTTGGTTTTAATCTTTTCCAGGCCATGAACAGAAAGAGAGAGAGGTAGAACTGCACCTGCCTACTCAGATCAACATCAGCCAGAACCTCACCTTCGTTGCCAAGTTCACCGAACTGCAGGTGAAAGAAAGGGGCCAGAAAGTCAGCCTTCGAGAAAGTCATAGGGTGGACTTCAGTTCCCAGAATTCTCAGCAATGGCCATGCTTATCCAGGGGATTCTGGGAATTGAAATTAATGTTATTGTTTCTGGCGATGTATTTAGCCGACCATCTCAGCAAATGACTCTGGGTGGGGAAGACTATTTAAAAGAAAATTGAAATAGGATCACAATTGTAAAAGTTAAAATATGTAGCAGCTGAGAAACCAGACTGTTAAGCACGTTGTGTAAATCCCGCCAGGTGGTTTCACAACTTGGGAGTTGTAGACTTCAAGAGACATTTCGAATTAGGGGCTGTATCACTGGTAGCTTGCATTGATATTCAGGAAACCCAATTTGTTGGAATATTCATGAGCAGGAAGAGTCATGTGGTAACTCAGTCAGCCAATGAGAGTAAAGTGCTACTGAGTCTGTGCAAAAGGTTTGGAGTTAGAAGCTGGGTCTCAGGTCTGTCTCTACTGTAAGAAGTCTTCATTTATGCTATGTTACTATGAAGAAGAATATATGGTATTGTAAATATTTTTATATGAATATAAAGAGTTTATTTGAATCAGCTAAATGCAGTCAACTGTGAGAGCTTCTGATTTATTTTTACCAGCAGAGAAATTAAAATTCTCTAACACAATTCCTCTGTTTCGTTCTAGTGGAAGATCCTTACCCTGAAGAACGAGGACACGGAACATAAATATAGCTCATCCCCGTTGGATTGGATCACCCTGGAGACCAACATTGCTTACTGGTTCCATTCCAGCTCAGGGGTAACTTTACTGGATTTTTACATGGGTGAATCATGTTTCCTGGAATACATAGGGGCAATCTCCAGATCTCCCTTTGTTCCAGAGAGAATTTTGGCATAGCCAGCTTCCTTTTTTAGCCATATAGCCAGTCCTCAACTGAACCCGAAATTTCCGTTCCTAAGCAAGTGATACAGCCCCCCCCCCAATTCAAAATGTCTCTTGAAGTCTACAATTCCAAGTTGTGAAACCGGCTGGCGGGACTTACTCTAGAGAAGGCTGAAAAAAACGGTCATAAGTCACATTCTCAGCGCCGTTGAAGCGAACCATTCACTAAATGAAGGGTTGTGAGGTGAGGACTAGTAGCAATGCCCTCCACGGTCTGCGGAGAGGGGAACATGCAGAGCGTTAATTCACCACGTCTTTCCGGAAGCCCTCAAATGGCATTTCCACGGAAAGGCTGCCACGTGGATAACTAATCATTCCCGTGGGGTAGCCGAGCAAGGAAGGGCTTAAGCGGGCTTTACTCAAAACACCTCCTTGATCTTTCCTGGCCAGGCTCAAATTCACCTCCTGGGCAACGTGGTCAGCTGGACATCGGCCAACGTAGCCACCGTCGTCTACCTGGTTTTGTTCCTGGGGTACCTGCTACGTCGACAGCGGAATATCCAGGATATCCCCAACGGTATGGACCTTCCAAACCCGTCTTGATCTTCCACCCGGGACCCCTGAATTGAGTTGGGGGAGACCACTTGTAGAAGCCCGTGGGAGGCCTTCTGCTCCTGCTGAAGGAGTTTTCGCCCTCTGTTGCCAGGGCAGCCCCCCGCAGTTGGGCCTTCGTTGCCCCCCCCATCCTGCAGGTGGTTAAAATGCCTCCAGGTCAACTTCTCGTCCCAAGGGCGAGAAACCAACGTGCCTGCTTCCCCGCCCCGTCCTGTTTCTCCACAGAGACCTGGCAGCAGTGGCTCCTGGCCGGAGGGGTCTGCGTGGGCGGGTGGGCTGTGAACTACCTGCCTTTCTTCCTGATGGAGAAGACCCTCTTCCTTTACCACTATCTGCCGGCCGTCACTTTCCAAATACTCCTGATTCCCGTCGTTCTGCAGCACACGAACGACTTCCTCTGCAGGTAGGACAGCTTGAGCCCACCTCTTCTTTCTTTGTTTCCATCATTTTTTTAAAAAAAAATTGCTTTCAAAAATCATTATTATTATTATTATTATTTATTATTATTTATTGAATTTATATACCGCCCTATCTCCCTTACGGGACTCAGGGCGGTGAACAGGCGATAATAAAAACCACGATAAATATACACAAGTTTCCGTTCTAAAATCAAATTAAATAACAGGCCTGCTCTGGAAGTACCCCATACAAAATCCCCACTAAAACATAATCAAACTACGCCAGGCCACGATAAGAAGAAAAGCAAAAGAAAGAAAACACAAAAGATACATACTTGCCACCATTCGTTTAGTGGCCGTTAGAACTTACAACGGCACTAAAAAAAAAGCGAGTTACGATTGTTTTTCACATTTAACGACCGTTGAAAGGGACCCTGGAGGTCTTCTAGTCCAACCCCTTGCCCTATACGATTTCGGACAAATGGTTGTCCAGTCTCTTCTCAAAAACCTCCAGTGCTGGAGCAGCCACAACTTCTGAAGGCAATTTCTGTTCCACGGATTAATTGTTCTCACTGTTAGGAAGTTTCTCCTTAATTCCAGGTTGCTTCCCTTTTTTATTAGTTTCCATCCGTTGCTTCTCGTCCTGCCTTCAGGCGCTTTGGAGAATAGATTGACTCCCTCTTCTTTGGGGCAACCCTTGAGATACTGGAAGGCTGCTATCCTGTCCCCCACTCGTCCTTCTCTTCCTTAAACTAGACATTCCCAATTCCAACAACTGTTCTGCAACTGTTGTAGCCTAATCATCCTTGTTGCTTTTCTCTGCATTCTTTTTCGAGTCTCGGCATCTCTTTTTATGCTTGCCTCCCTCTTCTTCCCCACAGGTCCAGGCTTTCCAAGAGCATGCACAGTGCTTTAGTAGCAGCCTGGTTATCGTCCGTCTACCTTACGTACCACACGTTCCGGCCCCTCACCTACGGCAAGCCGGCCCTCTCCAAAGCCGAGTTACAAGCTCTGCGCTGGAAGGATAGCTGGGACATTTTGATCCGCAAACGCTGAGCGACGCCAAGAAACGGACGAGGGGGCCGGTTTTTGCGACTGGATAACGAAGAAAAGGAGAAAAGATTTCATCGGAACTAGGGATTCATTCCCCCGTGGATCCCTTCGGACGTTCACCTAATCCCAGAAACAGGATTGTTGAACTAGAAATGCCCGTAGAATGGATTTGGGAGTTGTTTGGGGCTATTTTCCCTCCCGTTTCTCTCGCAGAGGAAAGGATTTCAGAGGGATAGAAATGTATTTGGACGAGGGGAAGAAACAGAGGGGCCCTTTTGCTCACTCGAGACAGAGAAAATGGGGCTCATGCACCCTTATTTTCTCTTGACCATGGAAAGAGTGCACAGGCCAGACTGCGTGGATAAGACTCATCACAACCATGTCTAGGAGTATGGAACTTTTGCAAAAACCTCCTTTCACGTTAATATGGAAGATGGTGGG